CTGCCGCGGTCAGTCCTGGCCCAGGAGCCCTCCCCTGCCCCGGCTGAATCCAGCAGGATGCTGGGACTTGCCTCTGCGTGCGCCGGCCGGCCGTGGCGTGGCTTAGGCTTGCATCTTCTGCGGGGAGGCAAGTAAATCCATGATGCATTTGCATCTTTTTGCTTAAAGCAGTGAGCACCAGATGACTACATTTTATCATTCGTGTTTCAAAGCCCAGCTGAGCCCATGGCTGTGACAGCAGCTGCCCGTAGCTGACCTCTTGCTTCCCTGCTGTAAGGTAGTGTCTTGTTGGGGTCAGCAGCACTCAGCCGCCGGCCGGCCGGCTCCAGGTGATTTGCTGGGCTGGTGGTGACAGAGCACAGGAGCCTGGAGGCAGAGGCTCCTGGAAACGGCATGGAGGGCTTCCGGGGGAGGCGGGGGGGCGCTGCCCTCAGAGGGGCCATGGGAGAGCTGGGTCACCTCTGCAGGGAGAGACGTTGGGCCGGGCCAGGGCACCGGCAGCAGGCTGAGACCCCCAGCGCCTCGCAGGCCGGGAGACACTCCAGGGGTGGGAAGGGGCAAAAGCTGATTCCTCACCCGCCCAGAGCAGCGCCGGCTGACAGGCGGGTTGCCCCGGAAAGGGAACGGGAGGTGAACACATGTTGAAATAGTTTAGGAGGTCCACACTGCCTTTGCTTGGCCTCTTCAGGAGCCCTCGGCGAGGACAAGCACCTGTAGTCTCTGCTCCCCGCTGAGCCCCACCGCCTGCCCCACGCACGCGCTCCCACACCCGCAGGGCTGGAGGGCGCGGGCTGGCACACCTGCTCGGACACGGGACAGACGCCTGCCCGCCCGGGTCAGCGACGGCGACGGCCTCCCAGTGGCCGCGGTCGCACTGCATGTGTGGGGTGCACCGCCCAGCGGGCACCTCGGGGCCAGGAGGGCGCTCACGGGCACCCGGCCCGGGCCGCTGGGAGGCGCCTGGCTCCCCGGGGCAGTGGCCCAGAGCGGGGCTGAGCTGGGGCGGGCGACCCCCGACGGACAGCGTTGCAGGGGCTCGGGGTCACCAGGGCCCGGTTCCAGTCCCGCAGCCCCGGCTCCGCCAGCATCCACCGAGGCCCTGGACCTTCCGCCCCGGCTCAGGACGCAGGTCGGCTGCGGCTCTGGCCCTCGGCGCAGGGCCAGCTCCAGACCGCCTGTGCCCGGCACCCTGCCAGCGGGCTCGGTGGGCGCCCCTGCGCCTCTGGGACGGACAGGAGCCGCCAGCGAGTCTTCGAAAATGCTCGATTTGTAAATGTCACCAGATTTCCAATGACACACTTGCGGCTGAGAAGTATTAATGCTTCATTGGGAATGCTGTTTATGTCCCATGGAGTCGCCATTAAAGTCCCTTAGGAAATGACATGGCAGAATGATACGCATCCTCATTAATTCTGCTCGTAGATGATTATTTGTTTTGACATGTGGCAGGATGATATATATGGGCTTTCTTAATGTCTGGAATTGACTTTTTCAAGTGACCTATTCCAGTAATTAGCCTGAGGCCTAATTTGCATAATAAAATCTCTTCTGTTAAGTGATCCAAAGATGGAGGTGTTGGGACCTCGGCCCGCCCTCCGCTCCCTGAAGAGTCCTAACGGCCTGGAGGCCACAGTGAGGCCTTTCCTGTCGCCCAGGGCTGCTTTGATTGTGTCTGACTTTTCCGAAGCCTGGAAGAGACCTGTTCCCAGCTGCAGCTTTTCCAGGGGCTCTGTCTTGGCGAAACCCCCCACCCAGCGTCCGGCAGCGTCTCCAGCTGTCTCTCGGCTCGTGCGGACGTGGCGCCTGACCTGCGATGTCCCCTTGGAGGCACAGGGAAGGGTGCTGCAGGCCGACCTGTCACAGCTCCGGCCCTGCAGAGCGGCCCCTCAGGGGTGCTGTCACGCCGCCCAACCTCCCCGAGTCAGAGACGAGGGAAACGTCCCCTGGGCCCCGGGGTCACCCGGGCCGGCCAGGCCCCGGCAGAGCACCCTCAGGCCCGGCACAGGCCCCAGGGGCCCCCTGGGGCCCGGACCCCTCTCACGGGAGGCCAAGACGTGGACTTGCAGAGAAGTCCAGAAGCCATCCTGTGTGGCGGCGGCCGGACGCGCCGTGGCGGCAGCGTGGGCCCCTCCTGCCCCGCGCCCCTGGGCGACGCGCTGGCCAGCAGGGCGGCCTCCTGCCCCGCACAGACGCTGCCGGCCGGCTGCACCGCCGCGGCTCCTTGGCTTGTTTCTGCGGGAGCCTGGGCAGTTGGGAGGCGGCAGCGCCCGCCTCGCTGTTGGTTCAGGCGTAGACTGCACTCGGCACCACGCACGGGATGCTGCACGCGGCAGGGCCCGGCTCGCTGCTCGGAGACCCGGCTCGGGCGGGCAGCTCCACGCCGGTGTTCTGGGTGGGGCGTGCGCGCTCACGTGTGTGTGCGTGCGCGCTCACGTGTGTGTGCGCGCTCACGTGTGTGTGCGTGCGTGCTTGCGCCTCCGTTGGCTTACGCTCCCTGCTTTCCTTTCCTTTCTGCTTTGGCTTCTGCTTTCTGGGGGGGGGGCAGTAGTGCTCCCCGAGACCCGTCCTCTCGCCCCAGCAGGCCATCTGCGTCCCCTGCCCCGCCATGGCCTTCCCACCCAGCGCCTCTTGGGGTGTGTGGCCTGGAAGAGGCTTGTTCCTGGCTCCCACGCTCCCCGCAGCGGGCGCACCCCCCCACTCCCAGCTTTCTGGGCGAGGGTTCCTTCCTGATTCCTGGCATGTAGCTGCAGAACTGAAGGGGTAAGACACTTTCGTGTGGGCTCTTTCACTGCAGAATGTTCCTTGGGCTCTCTGGCATCTGGGGGATACACCGCACCCCGGAGGCCTTGGGGTCCGACAGACCCGGGGTCCAGCTTGCCCCCTGGTCGCTGAGCTGGTGTCCGCCTCAGCGTCTCCATCAGTGAACTGGGGACAGGGACAGGGCCTGGCTGAGAGCTGTGGGGGGCGGGGGGCTCGTCTGGCGAGCGGGGCGGCCTGCCTGGCCCCATCTGCAGTCGGGGTCCCCTGGGGAGGAAGCTTGAGGCCAGCTTCTTTCCTGTGAGCGCAGGGGCTGGGAGATGGGCTTGTCAAGTATCATCTATTTGAAAACCATCCATAAAATGAAACTCCAGAGACTTTACAAGCTTCAATAATACCGCCTAACTTAATTACAAGATCTTCCCTCCTTGTCTTCTTTGAGTGTTACAAAAGTTCTTTTGTCCTTGGCTTCCCTCTGCAAGAAACCTGCATTTATGTATCTTTTTGTTGCTGGTGTTGTCTCGGCTTGCTGGCCAGAGGGTTGGGGGGGCTGGGCCCTGTCCCCACTGGCCATTTCCCGGTGCCAGGCTTCTCCTGGACAAAGGAAGCGCTGTGCTTGCAGTCCGCCAGGGTAAACTCGGGAAAGCCGCCTGGTCTGATACCAGCCTGGGGAGGGTGACCTCGCACCACCACCCAGTTTCTGGGCAGCCAGCTGTCAGCCCTCTC